TTTGTCTAAGTCCATAATACTTTAGTCAGATCCTGAGCTCATTGAGGTCAGTATTTGGGAACTCGAGCTCGTCGCTGGGGAATTCGCCTTCTGTCTTTAGTTCTGTCTTCGAGATCGTTGACTGCTTCGCACTTAACTCTGATTGACCATGTGTTGACGCGTGAAGTTAGAGTTGGTCCCGAGCTCGGTGCATTCGAGGTCGGGCTCATAACTTGTCGAGTTTGGTTGATTCCTGAGCTTGGTGTTTTCCCGACCTCAGTGGTCGAGGTCGGGGTCAGCTGGCCTTTCGGTCCTTAGCTTATTCGTTGCCTGGCGATTTGTCCCGACCTTGGTCGATCGGGGTCGGGGTCGGTCTCAGTTGTGGATTTAGTACTTTTACGTGCTCCGGAGTAGATCCGTGATGCTTTATGCGGTGATTATGATACCCCTGGGGTATATGGGAATATACTCCATCAATAGTAAAAAGATGAAACTCTATGTTGTAAAACCCGAACCGGACCGCCCGGAACCCGGTCAACCGGCCAATGATACGGTCCGGCTGGGCATCAAACCGTTAATGTGGTCAAAACTGGATTTAACGGGCGACCCAGTGAGACCCGCGATGGACTGAACCCGCTCTAAACTCGGAAAAATCCAAAAACCGGAGAATTACGTAGGCTGCGGGAATCAAACTCACCCCAACCGCAGCACAGCTGTGTTCCCGACCACTGAGCTACGCCAGCTCCTTGGTGAAATTAAGTCGCTTAGCTATTCTTATACACTAGTATTTTCACCCGTGCGTTGATACACTAGTATCTTCCCGATCACTGATCACTCTTATTAATTGATATTGATGATATTGATTGCATATAGACATTTCTTATTCATGATAGTTTTTGAACATGTACTTAAATCACAACTATAAAAAGAAAATGTTTTTATAGCATTACAAATAATTTGTCTAAAATTATTTCTATGTTGTAAAAATCAAATCGGGAAGCGACCCGGTTACTGAGCGGGTCACGGGTAAACCAGGACCTGGGTGGGTCAACTCGGTCAATACTAATATAATAATAAATAATATAACTATATATAAAACTAAAGTAAAAAAATAAATATATTCGTAACAATCAACTAATGATAATATGGAGTATTAGATAAGTGATTAAAACACTTATAATATTTCAAAATATAATTTTGCTCTCATCAAGCTCTAGAATACATAATGTCATTTGTTACTTGTGTTGTACAGTATATATAGTTTGATATAAATTTCTTTCTTAAATAAATATATAAATATATCACATATTTTTTCAATTTAGGATATTGAACTTGCAATTTATTTGGTTTAAAAATGCTTAGAAGCAAATATTATATTTGTTTTTTGAAAAAAAAAATTGAGACCAGATTTTTCCTGGTTACCCGGATTTTTCTGGGTTTCAATCATTTCCGGGTTTATAACAACCCAAACCGGTTTTCACTCTAGGTCGCCATTTTCCGGGTCAACTCGGCTGATCCAAGTCTGTTTGTTAAACATAGGATTATCTTTGATGTGATGTGAATGTTGTGATATATCACAAATTTTAATCTAAAAATATGATGAAATATGTCAACTTCTATACGGTTTGACCATTAACCTCTGTATGGTTTGGCCATTAAGGAAATACTAATATTTTATTGGGAAAACTATCAAATATGCCCCTTTTTCATGGGTGGGTATCGGAAACTTTTGGGGACATCCTTAGATGATGCTCTAGTGCAAAAGGAAAACCTACTTTGCCTTGGATATTTGTGAAAATGATCTGAAAAGCCATGATATTACCCACATAAATGACGTGGTGATGCAAAAGAAAGACTCTGAAACCCTGTTCCTTGGGAGAAGCAAGATGTTAGATTGAGATGAACTCCCCATGAGCTCCTAATGGCTGAGATGGGTGCCTTAGAATACAATTGGGAATGCCTTGTGAATGATGAATTGTAGGACTTGGAGTTATTAGGCTCATAGGACATATAAACGCCACCAGATGTTAGGGAGCATCCAACAGCATTCATATTGAAGCACTTGGATGAAGATTTAGTATCTAACTATGTTGGTTGCATGAATCATCTTAAGAGAAATCGCGTGTGGGACGGCCTAGGGTGTATGGTTCGCCAATGATGTAAATGATGATCCTAGGGTGTATGGTTCGCCAGTTACTGAGTCACAGGCATTGGGGACGGCCTGGATACGAAGGCGATACGCGCGTGATCCGTTCGAGTCGATTTTCTTCAGGATTAGAGATTGGAAAGCCAAGGTAGCTTAGCAGATCAGACGGTGTAAAGGTCGAGGACTCGATGGTGGTGATGATAGGCTATGGTGCTAGTTCGCGGCGGCCCGTTAGGGCTTTGGGGTGCTTTTTGTGTGTTTGAGACATACTAACATTGTTTACTTTTATATGAACATATCTAATACTATATTTACATGATGAAAGTGGGGTGTTAAGACTCAAGACGAAAAGATAACATGGACCATTAGAATAATTGAATACATTAAACTTTCATAACATCATATATGAAATTGAGTATTTCACATAAACCAAGCCAATTAGATATTTTAGTACCAACAAATAAAAGAAACATGTCAAAGGCAATTTATCTCTAGAAAATTTTAAGCATAAAATGACATTCTTAAATGTAATGCCTTGGAAATTAACATACATTCTACATAGACTACATTTATTATCTTAAGCTTACAGTTGCATATTAAGGTTCCTGTTAGATAAGGTAGAGCAATGTTTATTAATGTCTAAAATTTAGTGGTCCAGAAAGTACCTAAAAACATCACGCAAAGTGGTTATTATACCTAAATGGTACATTAAGTATATGGAAGAAGAAATATATTCATTTTTTTTCAAAGCCTCATTCGCTTGCAGACCATAGTCGCCGCGACCACTGACTTAGCCGTGACAAGGAACTGTTAGCAACCTTTAGACCTTTTCACTGTTAGCCATGGGTATCTATCAGGATTCGATGCATAAAAGGCGAGCTACTGGTGGTAAGAAGAAGGCCTGGAGGAAGAAGCGAAAGTATGAGCTCGGAAGACAACCTGCAAACACAAAACTGGTTCCAAATGCTAAAACAATTAGAAGGGACATGGTTCGAGAGGCAACCTGAAGTGGCGAGCCTTGAGGTTGGATACTGGGAACTGTTTTTGGGGAGGTGAAGCTCTCACCAGGAAGACCAAGATTTTGGATGTGGTTTATAATGCCTCAAACAATGAGTTTGTCAGGACCCAGACACTGGTTAAGGGTGCAATCGTTCATGTGGTTGATGCACCATTTAAGTAGTGGCGTCTCCAACACTATGAAGTTGAAGTTACATGTTGGAGGGCAGGGAGCTAGCTGGAGTTTTACATGAAGAAACTTCAGAAGAGGAAAGGAAAGGATGTTGATGGTGCAACTTAGATTCTATTCATTCAATTTTTTCATTGTTCAGGGAATGTAGAAATAAAAATGATTTTATTGCTACTCCTTTTTACTTATGTATTGTTGTCAACAATGTTTAGTTTGACAATGAGATTGTCACAAACTATCAGTTTGGAATTGTCCTAAACATTATGTTGAGAGGTGCTGACATGTCCTTTTATGTGGTCCCAGAATTCGGAGGGCAAACATTAATTTTGGAAAATGAAATTATATGTAAAAAGCAAAACCTGAAAACACTTGAAGATGGAACCATATGACATACCATTGCACATATCAAATGAAGCAAAGTCACTTTCCCCAGTGCTTGCATATACCGTGCATCAATCTATGTCACAGAAACAACTTATTTTAATGTTTGTGCAGAAAATCGATTGATACTATGTGAATTCTCTGAGCAGCAATATCATAAAGAAGCCCCTGCAACAATAATCAACTATAGAGGAACTAAAGTCATCAACATGGAGATAAGCTCCCTTTAGAACAACTAACCAACCATAGAAGAAGAGAATGGAGAGAAATCCTTGACAAAGAAATTGTGGAAATGTCGGAAAAATTGAGAAGTTAAGAAGGGAAAATATTATAAATTGGATAAAGAGAAAAGCATGCTTAAAGAGTGAAAAGGAAGATATTGGATAAATGGTTATGATATATTATAGATCAACTGTTAAGATAGATTTGCCTAAAAAGAGAACCCATAAAAAAACTCTAGCCATGTCAAATAGTAAGAAGAGACAAAAGTTCTTTGGATTAAGACTTTAGACAACCCCTAAAAAACTCCAGCCATGCCAAATCGTAAGAAGAGGCAAAAAGTTCTTTTAGCCCAAATTATCCCAAGTGGATAGAGTAAACTATTGTCAATGTTATCTCAAATGACATAGTAATAATAATACCAAACTCCATCCATCTGGAAGAACTACCAACTGAAGTCATTAGGATAAAATGAAGTCCAATGACATGTTATATATGTTCCATGATCTATGATGGATAGTGGGTAAAACTACATACTTACCTATTAATATGATTATTAATTGGAATACATATATAGAGGTGAAACCTTTATTTAAACTTAAAGTATAAACTTGTATGTACTTGTATAAACTTCATACTATTAAACTTTATTATTTTAAAATACAATTTTATTACTGTGAAACGAATTTTAGGTATTTACTTAAAATTGATCGCAAATAATAATATTTTAGAATATTGGGTACAATCTCTAAATATGAATCCTCTAATATTTTTATAAAACCCAACAACCATCACGAGCGGCCCAACAGAATCCGACAGTGGCCCACTGGCAAATAATATAGCCCGATAGCTTTTAAGAGCTCAATAGCTATCATAGTTCGCCCAATAATTTTATATATCCACAAATGCCACCTCGAGACTTGCTTGGGTGAATATGTTTATTATCACGAACAAGTGAGTCTCGAAGATGGATCCTATAGTCCATAATTAGCCCAATTTTGCAAAAGATTTCTTTTTTAAATCAATGCACAAGATCCGCCGGATCTATTGATATAAAATTCTATTATTTCCATTAGGCTTACAAAAACTGGGCTCAATTCTCTTGTTTCATCACGGAGTGTAACTAGCGCACTTCAATTTTGACCTCAATTGGAACTCCTAAAGTAGGAAATATTAACTTATTATTCTCCGTAATCAACTTCAATTGCAATTCGTACTTGCATTAACTTGGAGTCATCATCTAAAAGAATTCCAAATTGACTTCATCTAAGAACTTCTCTTCTACTAGGATTTAATCTGCCTGATTTGAGATCTATTAATGTGTATAAATATCAACTCATCTTCTTCTCTTTTGCATCTTTAATTTCACTCCCAGCAATTTGCAAAGGCCATCAAAATTCCTGAAGGCATAAGCTCGATCAATATCTCTGAAGCTGTAAAGCAATAGGTGAATTACCTTTTCCATTCTTTATGAAGTTATTTTTCTTTTTACCGTATTGCATGGGATATGTCAAGCTTCGGAAGTTATCATGCTTGGTCAAACTCATCTTTAACCAACCGGCGTTCAAAATCCAGAGGCATAAAATTTGCTTTCAAAATCCCAGTTGCAGAAGAAACTTGGCTGAGAGAAGGGATCTGCCATGTCAATTCGTTGCTCTTGCCTGGTGCTCTGTCCAAGAAGAACAGGTTTGGTTGATTGCGGACAACACCCAGAGCAGATCATCGCTCCTCTTACTTGCCGCCGGACTGATGGTGCTGCTGGCCGGATTGTTGGTGCCGCTTGTTGGAGAGAGAAGATGCCGCCGTTCCTATTTCCGCTGACGCTGTTATGCCACCACGCCGTCAGAAATTGATCCAAGAATCCGAAGTGGTCTGTCAAATTGCTGGTGGCTATATTTATACAAATCAAGAAGAAAGTAGCTGGTTGACGGTGCCCGAGAAGATGATGGAGCTAATCTTTGTTGCTGATTTCTGGCGAGCTCTGTGTGGTCGGATGCTGATCTTGGGGTTCAATTCCGATGGTGAGCAGCAGACGGAGGCTTCAAGAAGGATTGCTGGTGTCAGATGTTGCGGAAGCTAGTTGGTGTTTGGAGAAGATACTACCAGATGAGTTGATGCTGCCGTCGAAGGTCACTAACCGGAGAAGATGCTGGTCGGAGTTCAGTTGATGCGGCGGAGATGATGCTGGTTCGTCTATTGGGCTTCTAAATTCGGAGGAGCAAAGTAGAATTTTCCCGGAGCTGCTGAGATTGAGACGCTACCTGCCAAAGTTTTGTTGATGCGGCAATTCAAAGTCGATTCAAGGAGGTGGGCCTGCAGTGAGGTTCTTCCATAGTTGTAGCCATCCGTTTTATTTATTTTGACCGCTGGTGCAGAGAAGAAATTACTTGTGCTGCTCGCTGGACCGCTGGTGTCGAATGTTGAAGCTGCGCCAGCTTGTTGGTGTAGGAGAAGCTGCTGGGAGATGAGTTGATGAGATCGAGATGTTGTCTTGTCGGCCAGAATTTTTTTGATGCGGCAACTCAAAGTTGATTCAAGGAGGGGGCCCGCAGCAAGATTCTTCCGGAGCTGTTGCGGTTGGAGGCGTGGCTGCAGCTTTCTCGAGAAGAAGGAAATTGATCGATGTTTCACGCGATGCTCGTGCGAAGGAGATGACGGGAGGGTGAGGCCAATCGCTGAGTTGTTGTCGTGCTTGTTCGAGGAAGACGACCGGAGAAGTTCTGCACTTTGGAGATTTCCGTCGCTGCTGCGTTTAGTTTTCTGAGAAGCCGTGCTCAACTGCTCATCTGCGAACAAGACAGCAGGATATGGATATTCCTAAAAGACTTGGGCCATGGGCCTTATTTAATGGTTATTGGGCCCAATGACTATTAAACCTGCTCGAAATAAGGAGACCCGATTTCCTGATGTTTCAAGTGATTTGCTCATGGTGCCATTTATTGAAGAGGAAGGAGCTAGGCCTATTGTTGGGTTAGTGGCACTGATATAAAGAATTAGGCTGATTGCCGGTAGTCGGTGTCGTTTGGGGCCTTTGGTTGGGCTAGTGGCACCGATCTAAAGAATTAAGCCGATTGCCGGTCATCAGTGCTGCTTAGGGCCCTTGGTTGGGCTAGTGGCACTGATCTAAAACATTAGGCCGATTGCCGGTCGTCGGTGTCACATGGGGCCCTTGGTTGGACTAGTGGCACTGATCTAAAGAATTTCCCAGTGATGTCCTGTGAATACAAAGCCCTGCTGATGCCATTTATGAAGGGCGGCTATTTCGCCGTTTGTGAAGGCTGGCCATTTTGCCAGTTTGAATGACGACCACTTCGCCGGTCTGAGGGTTACAGCGGCGTCGCTTGGTACATTGTTATGATAGTGGCACTGATAGAAGATGATGTTCGAAGTTCAACTCAATCACTTTCAGGTGAGGCGCAGACTTGAGAACTCCCACATCCTGGTATGGCTTTGTTTTTTGTAACCTCTTTGCTGAAAAACTAGATTGGGTTTTGTTTTGTTATAACTGAACTTGATGGATAAGTGTACCCGGGGGTATCTATCCGAGGGGTTACTGCGGGAAATAACTAGAGAGAAGTCAGAGCAAAAGTAAGAGAGAGAATATATATTGCTGAGAATGCGTTGAGTGTATTGAACATGGATTACAAATGGGGAAAAGGGGTGCTATTTATAGTAGCAATAAATGCCAGATAGGGACACATGTCATCATTCTGGTGGTCGAGGGGTCACCTCAACGGGGTGGCACTGGCACTCGCATGTGGCCGCATTGAATGCGGTGGTTGGATGTGACATTTGTACTCGGTACGTTGATCCGGCGCATGTGGGTGGGAGATTCTGTCGAGGAGATGCCTTCGGCCGTAGATGATTAGCTGAAGGCTCTTCATACCGGGGGCTCTAGGTGCCGAGGGCTACTGTTTTTGCCGCTTTCTCTCAGACACTTTGAGGGCTGTAAAGAAGCCGTAGGTAACACAGGGGGGACTCCACCAGCCAGCGGAAGAAGTGGGCTCAATCGCTATACGTAGGGGAAGTCACTCATATGCCCCCGGTAAAGCGGCTGAGGGAGGAGCCCTTCACATTCACAAACGCCGATCTCCCCCCTGCTTCCTCTCCTCACAAGGATGCTTTGGTGATCCAAAGCAAAATAAACAACACCATCATTCATCGAACTTACATTGACACGGGCAACTCCGTCAATGTAATGTACCTCAGCACATTCAGAGAGCTGCATCTGGAGAGGGGGTCCCTTCGGCCCATAAAGATCCCTCTTGCTGGCTTCACTGGAGACACCATTGACTCAGAGGGGGTCATAACCCTCCTGGTACTATTCGGTGACGGGCTCCATAGAGCCAAGCTCGAAGTGGAGTTCGTCGTCGTCAACATCGACTGCGCCCACAACATCATCCTCGGCAGACCAGCCCTCGAGGACCTCGAAGCCATCATCTCCATGAGGCATCTGTGCCTCAAGTTCCCCACCGAGGGAGGCATCGGATACTCAAGGGGGAATCAAAAACTTGCCCGCGTTTGCTACATTCAAGTGACAAAGAAGGTTAGTAAGACCGAGTTCTGAGTTCACACCATCACCGGAACCGTGGAGGAAGAAGAGAAGAGGCCGAGGGCTGAGCCCGCCGAGGAAGTAGAAGACTTCGCACTCGATCCGGCCAAGCCGGAGAGAGTTGTGAAGATTGGAGCCAAGCTCCCCGAAGACCTAAAGACCAGCATAACTGAAGCCCTCCGCGCCTACTCCATTGTTTTTGCATGGGGGCCAGAGGACATGCCTGGAATCAGCCGAAGGGTCATCACCCACCGCCTCTCGGTGGGCCCTTCGGTCAAACCTATACAACAGCGAAGAAGACCCCTCTCGGCCGAGAGGAGGGAAATTGTGAAGAGGGAGGTTGTCGTGCTCCTCTACATCAAGCACATCAATGAGGTGAAATACCCCTCGTGGCTGGCGAACATAGTCCTCGCACAGAAGCCACCCACCTTCCGCATGCGTGTGGACTACACAGATCTCAACAAGGCGTGCCCTATGGACCCTTTCCCTCTGCCGAACATCGATCAACTCCTGGATGAGACCGCGGGGTGTGAAATCATGTCGTTCCTCGATGCATTCCGTGGATATCACTAGATTTTTATGCATGAGGAAGACGCGGAAAAAACAGCCTTCATGACTCCCGAGGGCATATTCTGCTATCTTGTCATGGCCTTCGGCCTGAAGAACTCAGGCGCCACCTACACCCGAATGGTGGCCAGAGTCTTTCAGGCCGTCCTAGGACGCACCATGGAGGCCTATGTTGACGACATGATCGTCAAAAGCAAACAATCATCGAGCCATGCTGACGACCTCCGGAAGATCTTCGCCATCATGCAAAAGTTCAACCTTCGGCTAAACCAGAAGAAATGCACCTTCGGCGTTCAAGGAGGCAAATTTTTAGGCTACATGGTGAGCCAAAGGGGTATTGAGGCCAACCCCGAGAAAATCCAGGCCATCATCAACATGGAGCCCCCACGTAACGTGAAAGAGGTCCAACGGTTGACGGGCCGCCTGGCAGCCCTCAACCGCTTCCTATCCAAATCGGCTGAGAAGTCTTACCCTTCTTCCAGATCATGAGGAAGACCGCCGGCTTCCAATGGACCTCAGAATGCAAGGAGGCCTTCGACGAGCTGAAACGATACTTATTTTCACCCCCTGTGCTCTCCAAACCCATGGTGGGGGAAACCCTATACCTCTACCTTGGAGTCGGCCCGGCTGCCATCAGCTCAGTGCTCATCTGGGAGGAAGATGGCGTTCAACATGCCATCTTCTATGTTGGCAAGACCCTCAGGGAGGCCGAACTCAGGTACTCCCCCGCGGAAAAGATAGTCCTAGCCATTGTTTGGACTGTGAAGAAGCTTGGCCACTACTTTCAGGCCCATCCGGTCCAGGTCCTCACTCACCAACCCCTCGGCGCCTTGATGAGGAGCCCCGTCAGCTCCACCCGAATGGTAAAATGGGCCATCTTCTTTAGCCAATATAACATTGACATCCGTCTGAGGTCTGCCATAAGGGGCCAAGCCCTGGCGGACTTCGTAACAGAGTGCACGGCCAGATCAACAGTAGATGAGGAGCCCTCGGCACCTTCGGACAAGTGGTGGACCCTCTATTCTGATGGCTCCTCAGCCACCAAAGCATGCGGGAGAGGAGTAGTTCTCATTACTCCCGAAGGCTTCCGGGCCTACTATGCCATCCGCTTCTCCTTCAAAGTCTCCAATAACGAAGCGGAATATGAAGCCCTCCTCTGTGACCTTCGACTGGCAGCGAATATGAAGGCCAGAATGATCCACGTCAAGTGTGACACCAAGCTTGTCGTGGGCCAAATCTCTGGGGAATACGAGGCCAAGGAAGGGAGGATGAAACAATACAGGGAGGCGGCTAAAGAATTGCTCAAGGTATTTGAGGCACACTCTCTCACCCAAATACCGAGGGCTCAAAATTCTGAGGTCGGCATTTTATCAAAACTCTCGGATGAATCCCCCGAGCACCTCTCACCCAATAAAGGCAAGAGGACTGGATCTCAGACATCATCGCCTTCATCACCACAGGGCAACTACCCGAGGATGAAGCTCGCTCCAAATTAGCAAAGCTGAGGGCCCCCAACTACACCATCGAAGACGGAAGGCTCTACAAACAATCTTACAACGGCACACTACTCCGATGCCTACATCAAGACGAAGCCGAAGTCGCCATGGAGGAAGTGCACAGTGGCACTTGCTCAGCTCACCAGGGATCCTTCTCTATGTCCCGAAGGCTCATAGTCCAAGGCTACTTCTGGCCTACAATGGCCCGAGATTGTGCGGATCTCGCCCAATAGTGTACCGCCTGTCAACACTTCCAGAAGGCCCCCGGCAGACCAGCGGTCAACTATGCCCCCATCAGCACATCTATACCCTTATCTAGATGGGGCATAGACCTTGTGGGCCCTCTGTCGAGGGGTACCTCCAACAATAGGTACATCATCGTTGCCATTGACTACTTCACCAAGTGGGCGGAGGCTGAGCCCCTCGCCAGCATTACTGAGGCCAGGTGCCGCCACTTTGTCCTAAAGAACATTCTCACAAGGTTTGGCGTCCCCCAACAAATCATCTCCGACAACGGAACCCAATTTGAGGCAGCCTTCTTCTGTGCCCTCCTAGAGGCATGGGGCATCAAGCACACCTTCTCATCCGTTGTTTACCCTCAAGGCAACGATCAAATGGAGAACGCCAACCGGACATTACTTGAGGGCCTAAAAAAGAAGCTGGAGGCCGAAGGGGGAGGCTGGGTAGAAGAACTCCACAACATCCTATGGGCTTACCGCACCACCCCTCAGCGGGCAACAGGTGAAACACCCTTCTCCCTGTGCTATGGATTTGAGGCTAAAGCTCCCACGGAGGTGACCCTTCCTACTCGAAGGGTAGCCCAATATGATCCCGAAGTCAACGACGCTAATATGGCCCTCGACCTTCACCTCATCTCAGAACGCCGAGAGTAAGCCTTCATACGAGCGGAAAACTACCGAAGGCAAGTGAAGGGCTATATCGACGCCAAGGTCCGCTCTCGAGAATTCCAAGTGGGGGATTATGTCCTACGACGGAGGGAAGCTAGCCAACCAACTGAGGGCGGCAAGATGGTACCTAAGTTTGAGGGCCCATACATCGTAGTGGCCATCATCAAATCGGGGACTTACAAACTCAAACGCCCCAGTGGGGAAGAGGTCCCTAGACATTGGAATGTACATCACCTAGTTAAATTTTATCACTAATATTAGAGCGGCCAAGACCTCATAACTAATGAATGTATTATCATACGGCCCAAGGCCTTCAAATTTAGAGACATATTGAAGACACCAAGAATAAGAAACAAGACACATATGAGCGGCCAAGCCCTCATGCGGACTACTGGCCCAAGGCCTTATCACAAGCAAGACCCTTTGGCACCAAGTGCCGAGGGTAGACACTCCCATCACCTACGACAAATGAAGAAAACACCAAGTGTTTTTCAGAAGACCCCTCGGTACCAAGTGCCGAGGGACCGTACTCCTATCAACTCCAGACAGCGGAAAACATCAAGTGTCTCCTTTGAAGACCCCTCGGGGGCCATATGTCGAAACAAACACCAAGTGTTGTTTCGAAAGCCGTACCCCTCGAGGACGCATTTATACCGAAGGCACCACCTATCGGTGCCGGCAGCACGTAGTGCCCCCGGCCATTTGTAACCAGTGCACAAATGAAAACCCTTCCTTGAAACGCTTTCCGCGTCATTACCCCAAGGGAATCACAGACATCTAATATGCCCAGGATTCGACTTCCAAAACGAAACGCTCCCCGCGCCATTACCCAAGGGTATGGCAGGCCACAGACTATGTCTCGCGCCGAGAGGACGACTTTCAAAACTGGGGCGCTTTCCGTGCCATCCCCCAAGGGGAGGCAGGCTACAGACTGTGTCCTATGCCGAGGAAATGGTGTATGCTGTTGCCTCCCGATAGGCCAAGCCTTACCAAGAAACCAAGTTTCTTGAAGCCTTCCCTTCACTCCCAAAAAAAAAGGTGAAGGGGAGTAGACTCAAAGAGCAATCAATGAGTACATAACTCCAACAATCCACAACGGAACACCCTTCAGCAAACAGCAAGAAGGATCATCACAAGACAATACAAATCATACCGAGGGCTCCCCAAGGGAACGCCTCTGATACCTGGGGACTACTAATTCCAGAAGGCCGCTATTCAACAAAGGCTACCGAAAAATGGCTAAGTCCAATGTCTGGATTAACCAACAAATACCGGTGCCCCTCTGACGTCAAACAACACTGAGGGATCTCCAAAGGAATGCCCCCGTTCACCATACATCAAATATCAGTCAGGTCTACAAACTGGTGGCCTCCGGCATCAACGAATACCGAGGCTCTAATCCTGCTAAAGGATTAAAAATGGCCAAGTCCACTCAACAACGACTCAAGGGATACCGAAGGCATCCACTTTCCGTCCGCCCTTACTACATCATGAATGTCTTACAAAATTTTCCTAAGTCCGCACTTTGGAGCCATTATGGCCGAGGGCGCCTCCTACACAATACCGAAGGCAAGTACCCACAGACATGATCTTGAAATTCCTAAGTCCAAGTCCCAGCAACCCCCAACGTTACAACCAACGCCGGAGGTTAGTACTCACATGGCTCATTTACCGAAGGCCAAGTGACAAGTAACACGTAGAAAAATGTCTAAATTCTAAATGGTTGGCCCTCGGTCAAATCTCCATGCAGCCAGAGGGGTCACACAACCGAAGGCTCTGTGGTGAAACCACACTTAGAAAAATGTCTAAATTCTAAATTGTTGGCCCTCGGTCAAATCTCCATGCAGCCAGAGGGGTCACACAACCAAAGGCTCTGTGGTGAAACCACACTTGGAAAAATTTTCTAAGTCCTACATATTTGGCCCTCGGTCAAATCTCCATGCAGCCGGAGGGGTTGCACAACCGAAGGCTTTGGTGAAACTACACTTGGAATATTTTTTCTAATTCCTAAATGTTAGGCCTTCGGCCATACATATAGCCAGGCATACATTCACGCACAAAGGAAAAGAAAGTCGGGGAAGGACGAAGGCATACAAAAGAGAATGACAACCGAGGGAAAAAGTTGTGAACAAAAGAGAAAAATATTCTAAGTCCTGAAATTTTGGGCCCTCGGTCAAATCGTGACGGCTGCCCAAGTTCAGAGGGAAGCATCTGTCGTGGGCCTAGTATTGAACAAACACTTAGAATGATTTTCTAAGTCCTAAATGATTGGCCCCCGGTCAAATCATAATGCAAACATACATGCATACATGAAAGGAACGTAAAGAAAAACGAAGGCCATTCACTCACCAGAAGGGAAGAAAAGAGTAAATTCAAACATTAAAGCCCGAAGGCATATCATTCATTCGGAAGATAGCATTCAAATGCAAGGGCGGTAAACGTGTTCAATTACAAATATTGTTCAAAAGATTTACAAATACAAAGTTACTCGGCGGTTTTCTCCTCAACGGCCTTTGGAGTAACGTCCCCTTCAGCATCTTTAAAGGTAACCTCTCCACCGACATTCTCCTCGGCACCACCATCGTCGGACCCCCCATCATCATAGAATCTTCAATCACTGGTCTTTCTTCGCCCGGGGGGAGGGGATTCTCACATCAGGTTGCAATGGGGGAAGGTCGTACACCGTCGGGTCAAACTAATCGAGGGAGACGTTGAAGTGACGAGCGAGCCTCCAGTATATCAGGTGCTGGGTGAAGAACTCACCCCCTTGGTAGTAGCAGTCGCCTCTCTCGGCCAACCACTCCTTGTCAGGGCCTTCAACCCATACATCTATCTTCTTCTGCACAACGGAGGAGACCCATTCTTCCCTATCAGCAGCCTCCCAGCCTTCGGCAGTGAAGGCATCAACCACGGCTTTCCCAGCTTTCGCTACCGCCTCGTTCTTGGCCCTCTCGACCTTGTCGGCGGCTCTCTTGGCGACCTCGGCAGCAGCACTCTCGGCCTCAGCCTTCCCCTCGGGCTTGGCCTCTGCTATGGCAATCTCCATCTTCAGCTCCATCTGTTGAAGGGTCTCCTCCAACTTGCACATTTCCCTAAGGGAAGCATCTTTTTCAAGGATAAGCTTCCTCAGGGACTCCTCCTGCTGGGCCTTCTGGAGGCGCCATTCTTCCAGCCGTCGGGCATGTTCACCGAGGGCTATGCAGGCCTATAAGCAATGAACAAAGGAATCAAGTTATCATTCAGGATGTGCTAAGTGAATGAAAAAGAAAACTAAGGAACAGAGACTTACGGTAAGGGATGACCGGAGGATCTTGCTCTCGAAGGAAGCATCGTCGTAAGTGCCGAGAGCCTCCATATCCATCGCCGAAGTAATTACCCGCAGGAAGGCCTTCGGCTCAACCGTGGCGTGCATCACGGAAGTTCCGGGGGCCAGGGAGAATTTCACAGTATCCCGGGGGAAATCTTCCAAAGGAAGATCAGAAGGAGCCGTCGCCACCTCAGCACGTGGCTCAGAAGTGGAATGTTCATCCACTATCATAATCGAGGGATCATCCTTCCCCGCATTCCCCTTTTTGGGTTTCTTACCCTCAGGACCACCGCCCTTCCCGGCGGCCTTCCTCTTCTCCGCAACGTCAGCTCCTTGGGAGCCTCCAGCCACATCAACGGTGGCAACAGCCGTAGAAGGCACCACCACCTCCTTCTGAAAAAAGGCACTGACGGGTTGCTGACCCGAGGGATCCTTCTTCTTGACTTGGGCCTTGCCCTTCTTCTTCTTCATAGCAAACAGAGCGTTCGCGTCCATGTGATTACCTGCAAAAAGAAAACACAAGATGGTTAGATCGAGGGGTAGAAAGCACGAATAGAAATTAAAGTACAAAATTCCTAAGTACAAAATATAAGGCCCCGGCAACTACCTCCTGTTCCCCTGAAGGCTCTATCAAGGATGGGGTACTTCTCGACTGTTTCCCCCAAGAAGCGGTACCACCGGAAGCCGAGGGAATACAAATCGCTCTCGAGGATGCATTCTTTGGTGGTTACGTTCTTATTCCGCCCCTCCGGGATCTTGGAAATATTAAGACCATCTTTTTTGAGGGAGGCACTTCCCACCCTCTCATGCCGACGGAAACGATCCTGCAACTCCCTCGGGAATGGGCTCTCATCCAGTCTCACATAACACCATCGCTCCTTCTAGCCTTTATTTGAGGAGGGCGCCTCAGTGAACAACTTCCAATGGGCTATCTGCTACAGGTTCGCGAAGCCCTCGGCATTCGCATGGCCTCCCCGGCACAGGTTGAAACTTTGGAAGAAAAGGTCCAAGCTAGGGGTTACCCCCCGGGACAGGCAGAGGTGCAGGAACCCGATAATATAAGAGTGACTGTTGGCAGGGGGCTAAGTCAACGAACCTGAGGTACTCCCGAAGGAATGGGTGCAATGGGAACCGAAGGCCCACCGACACTGAAAGAATGTCAACCGCTATGCACCCCTCAGGAGGTCGGAACAGGATATCCTCAGGGCCTGGCTCTATCACTGTTGCCGATGGACCAACATGCAGCTGTGTGACGTAGCATTCTGCCCTATCAGCCTTCGACTTTATATCGAGGGTGGCGGTGTTAAGGAAGGAATAACCCTCGGGCAGATCGATGGGTTTTCCTTGATCAGCAACGCTACCCTTCTTCTTGGGAGCGGGAGCCTTCGTCTTCTTCTTCTTCCCGGGGGCTACCCTGAGGGGAGTCGGGTTCAGCGGCCGAGAGTTGCTTGCCTCACCAGCATTACGAGGGGAGGGGACCGCAATAGTAACCCTCATCCTCTCCCTCTCCTTCTCCTCCTCTTCAATGGCCGTGTGCATGGCGAGGGCCATCTCCTCGTCTTCCACCACTTGTTCGAACTCCTCCGCCTCGGCTTCGGTCACTAACTCCTTCTGAACCTCCATAGCGAGGGCAACATCACCATTCCCCGAGGACTGACTGCTTGCAGACTCGACGTCCGAAATACCCTCCTCCTCAGCCGAGGGCTCCCTTGAGACATTTTGGGAATCACTTGCAGATGACATTTTATTTTTCGGAAACTAGGGGTCGAGGGTTTAAGAGACCGAAGGCTTTCTATGGGGCTCTAACACCTAATCTAAGTCCGGAGAGCAAAACTTACTAAAAGGGCGAAGAACAGATGGAGAACTGACCTCATAAATAGGAGTTTGATCGAAAGCAGGTTTCTCTCTCTAGAAAAATTTCGGCAGAGCTTCGCTACAGTATGATCGCGCAAGAAGAATAGCCTTGGCCTTGGGGTATTTATAGGCCTCCCACTCCGGGCTTGGGCCAAGAAACCGGGCCCCCGATGGAAAGTCATCATTACACGCCGCCCCTTCCGCCAACCAGTGATACCCGCCTGAAGCTAGCCAACAACTACACGCCACGTGGATATCACCTCCAACGGCTACATTTTCAACGTTCCTTATTCCAACGGTCTTATCACAACGGCTATATTTTAGAAACACAAAGGTGCTCCCGGCCGGTACCCCTCATACAACATTACACTTGCATTCGGGCTTTCTCCTTCAGCACCCTTCGCACAACAAATTGGGGCTGGCCCTCGGTCCATCACATTCAAACACCCCATGTCATATGGGCCCCCGAGGTAACAATGGAAAAGCCCCTCAAAACGTTGAGAACTAGGGAGTCCCCTTGGGGCAACACCTTCAAATTCCCTCATCAGTGGCTAGCCTCCGGCTAAAATACCATGGCACCCCTCAGCACACAGGAACGATCACCGGCATTCGTCAACAACGAACAAGCCCTCAGCCTCATTGACTGGGGGACTACCCTCGGCAGTCCCCGGGATGCTCGCTCATGCTTATCAATTACGGATGCCTTCGTAGGAATGCTCCCGGCAGACCCTCCGGGATATCAACGAAGCCCCTCCAGCAACTCCACAGACATGCCCTCAGATCAATGGTAGTCTTTGGCATCAACTTTGTCCTTCATCTCAGACCAAGGTTTCACCTTTTCGATTCATCATTGGGGGAATTCGGTGCACTCTTTTTCCTTATTAGGATTTTTTCCCACAAGGTTTTTTCATAATGAGGTTTTTAACGAGGCATCCCCCCAAGATGAAACAAAAAGTGTCCACCTTCGGCCCCGTACAAACAGCAGACACCACTCTACTCCTTTTCACCACTTTATAAGTGCCTCAGGAGTGGGGGACTAGAGAACCTCTCCGGGAATCGGGAAAATAAAAAAATGCTAAAAAATTATTCTCACAAAGCATCAACACCCTTTAGTCCCAAAATGTGAGGGACTGAAGGGCTGCCCCGGCAGAATCGTGTGCAAACGCAAAATCTCTCACAGGTTTACAAACAACACCAAGACATCATCAGAGGACAAACGCATTTTACTCCTTTTACCTCAAGTACCTTTCGGCAAAAGGAGTGAGGAAGTCCTGATGAGGTATATGGCCCAAGAACCCCCGGCCCATAGACTCCCACTACTATAGCTGATAGAGTATATATCTAGAGAGAAGTGAGAGCTAGAGAGAGAAGTGCAAGTAAATGCTTCAATAGAATGATTTTGTCACCCCTACAACTACTCCAAGAGGTAGTATTTATAGGGAAAATACGGGCTGGGCTCCCAAGTCTTGGGCTAGGGAGGCCCATTTTCAACTGGACCGCTATTGGGCCGAATACAATGTGCGTAGAAATGATTAAGTGTAAAATCCTATTCTGGGGGCCGCTCGTGGCCGATGAGGGCACGGCCGACGAGGGCACGGCTGACGGGGACCTGGCCGACGAGGTCACCCGGTTCTCCTAGGTTACGGACCGTATTCTGAGTTAGACTGCTTTCTGGCCGATGGAGGTCATATGACCGACGAGGGTCCCACCAGGTGATCGTGGTACCTTCTGTCCTTCCGAGTATGTGGGCCATGGGGTCCAGGCCCATATACTCCATCAGGAGTCCCCCACTCTCTAAGCTGAGATGTAGATGAGGTGAAGGAGAGTAGATTTCTGTGCTTGATGCTCTTGGCCGACGTGGGACCACCCCGACCGTTTTCTGTCGTGGCGTTGGTGGCCCTGTTCTGGATTTGGCCATTACCTTCCCCTTGATGTGGACGATGAGCGTTCCGGTCATGGGTGGCCGATGGAGACATTCTTTCCTTCTCACGACCTTTGGTGGCTGGATTTTGTTTTTGGGCCGAGGAGGCCACTGCGGTTGTGTTCTTGCTTGAAGACGATGAGCGTCCCTCATCTTGAGTGTCCGTTAAGGGTGCTACTCACTCCTTATGACCGTTGGTTAAAGTTCGTACTGTTGGCCGAGGAGGCCATTGGGGCTACCTTTTGGTTGGACGATGAGCGTCCTTGCTTAGTGGGTACGATGAGCGCCCTTTGTCATGAATGGCCGATGAAGGCCGTGCCCACTCGTGACAGTTGATGGCTGATCTTCGCTCTTTGGGGTCGAGGAGGCCTGTGTGGTTGTCTCTTGTTCGAGGATGATGAATGTTCTTTTGTTCCCGGGTGGCCGGTGAGGGTGCGGTTTGCTTCTTAGCCGTTGACCGTGTTCTATGTTTTTTGGCCGCAGTGGTGTTGTCCGTAGTCTGGCATTCACGCTTTTGAGGACGATAACGACACTGATCCGGGAGGAGTGGTGCGTGTCCTGGTCTCAAAGCCGATAAGTGCCTTGTGATCTCAAGTGTTGCGCTTATGGAGGGAATTCTTTGTTCGCTAGCTTTGCTGCGGCCGATGGTGCACCATGATGTTATGGACGTTGTGGTGCATGTCTGATGTTGTAGTTGTGGACTTAGAATATTTTTGGATTTTTCTGATTTTGTCCTGGTTTGCAAAGGCCGATGTAGTCCCCCAGTCCCCCAGTGCTTCAGGCTGAAGAGTAGGTGAGGGGTGAAGGAGTAAAGGATTTACCGAGGCCGAAGCGGACTCTTGTATACACCTGAATCCAATTCCTTGGCGATTTCCTGGTCAAGGTAACCATGTGGGAGAACCCATGGACGCAGGTCGCTTTCAAGAAATTATCATCAGGGTTTTATACAGGGCCGATGGCGTGGGGTTTCTTGGTGGTTTTACCGCCGTGGCCATTGAGAAGGCCATGCAATTGGCATTCTGTTCAAGCCAATGTGGACGTGCCTTGAGATGTGACCTATCCATTTGAAGTATCTCTGTGTTGAGGCCGATGTGGGCACGCTTTATTAGTGTGGCCGTTGAGTGGTTGGCCTGTTAGTGGTGAGCTGGTGTTGTGGAAGTGGGCCTGACCCGACTTCTAAACTGGTGCAAGCCCAATGGGCCTTGGGGGTGGTGGCCATTCATGTGGCCAATGGGAGGTTTCCATGTGTAGTGACCGTTGAGGGGAGGTCTATAAATACCCCCCCTCCGAAGAGGTTCCTCATTGCATTCCTGAGATAACGAAGTGCAGCTGAATTTTCTAGAGAGATAAAGTTCTTGCAAGTGTTCTTCGTGTTCATCAAAGCTTCAAAGGTTAGTGCATCGAAATTTTCCTCTGTACTTTGCCTATTTCGCTTCCTAGGCCATTGATCCTTTGTTAGTGGAGAAATACCCTTAGATCCAAAGTAGAAATCTTTAGGCTCTAGTTAGTTGTTATGATGAAGCCTTTGGACGACGAGTACTACCCGTACGACGATTAGCCCTCTGCTAAGTCTCTTGATTATCGGGTGGTAGAGGAGTGCTGTGAGGAGATAGAGGAGTTGAGCTCCTTCAAGTCAGGGGAGGGTGAAGGTGAGGACGAAGAGGTCGCCTCGTCGTCTGATGGTGAAGATGTAGTGGCTTTACGTGCTGTGGACGGAGCGTCTACATCGGCTGCAATCCCTTGCCCGAAGCCGGTTTCTGCTGTAAAGGGAGCTGCTCTGACGAGAAGGCGGCGGCCGAAGAGGGGTCAAGGTTTCTCTTACCTAGATCTCACCAACCTCTATCTGATCAAGCCGGAGAGTAATGCGGCCGATTACTTGGTGGCACAGATGTACGTGGGGCCGTATGGGCGGGTTAGGGCGCCCAAGCCGACGGATCACGTGTTGAATCCACCTCCGGGGTATTTTGGAGTATACCCCATGAGCTTCGCAAAGGGACTTAGGTTTCCCCTTCACCCATTCATCACGAAGTATCTGGACATGGTGGGTCTCCCTCCAGCCTTGCTGACTCCCAACAGCTATTCGCTCATTGTCGGCTTTCTTCTCCGCTGCGATGAGCTAGATTTTAGGCCGACAACGACACTGTTCATGAACCTGTACCAGATTGGTCAAGGGAGCCACAAAAACTGTGCTGGTTACGCTAACCTCTAACAGCTGCCGAAGAAGAGGAGTTTCACTGACCTCCCTTCGTCTATTCATGGATGGAAGAGCAAGTTCGTCTTCGTGTCCTTGGGTGAGGACGATACGGAGTTTCCTTCAGTTGGTCACGACGGTAAGTTCACCCTGCATGACGTGCCGAAGAGCAGTATTTTGGATGCCCAGGAAGCGGCGTTTCTGAAGGGCGGGCCGAGGAGCGTGAAACATTACATCACGGAATACAAGATGACCGCCCTCGGCTTCATGAGGTATCACGTTTATGGTGACAAGGAAGGTGATATCGAGTTGTGGCCAAAGATGACCACCACCATTGAGGAGGCCGACGGCCCGGATATGGGCATTCCTGCTGATGCTGATGGTAATACCTTCCCTGGCGTCTTCGTCTATGTTTTCTTTTGTTTTTGCTAACTGTTTGTTTCAATTGCTGTGCAGACTTCGCTATGGATCATAGATCCGTCATGGACCTAGCCAAAGCTAAGGCGAAGGAGAAGATGGCCGCAAAGGAGGCTGCAAAGATGGCCGCTGCGGGCGGCGCTCAACCAAGCTCTGATGCGGCGAAGAAACCGCCAACGCAGCTGAAGAAGAAGCGGCCTGCCGATGACGGCCAGAAAAAACTTACCGAGGCCGGCATGCAATCCAAGAAGCCGAAGAGGGCTTCTCCTCTGGCGGATGCTGGTGTTGGGGGTATGGCCATACCGAATGATGATGCCAGGGCTCAAATGCCATTACCGTTGTGGACGCGGTTTCGGTCCCCTCTTCGGCGATCCTATCTCAGCCGCCGCCTATCGGCCAAGAGCCCTGTAAGCAAAGGGCCGGCAAGGAGCTGGCTGGCGGGACTTACAAGCTCGAGATCGAGTATCCTGTGAAGGGTGGCGTCTTCAATGACGCCGTTGACGACCATGATGTCCTTGCCCGGGCTGTCTTGGTCGAGGATCGGGCTTATCTGAAGAAGCTGGGTCCCGTCAGGATTTACAATGGCGGTATGGACCTCATCATTTAAGTAAAGCCCTCATACTTTACGTCTTTTGTGTCATGGGTTTTGCATCGTCCTAATTCTTCATTTCTCCTTTTTTGTTGCAGGGCGCTCTCATGCTGATGGAGAGCCACAAACGGCGGGAGCAGGAGATTGCCCGTCTGAGGGAAGCCGAGAAGAAAGTTGCTTCAGCTGAGGAGGCCACGGCCTGCCTGGACCGGCTTCGGGAGGAAGTGAAGGCCCTTCAGAAGGGTGTTGATGAGGCCGATGTGGCCTACCGGCAGGTAGCGGCTGACCGTGATGACGCTCTGAGGGCTAGGGATGAAGCCCTACGAAGCCGTGATGAGGCCCTGCTCCGGGCCGAAGATGCCGCAAGGGCTCAGGCTGATTCTGAGAGGGCCACTGAGAAGTCCGTTGACGGCGCCACCGAGAGGTTCCTGGCCGAAGGCTGGAAAGCCGATGACCACTGGCCCTGGTGCTATGACGTCGTGGCAAACCGGCTCGAAGATTGGGGCCAGAACTGCCCTGCTGGCCAAGAGTACTTTGCTCGTGAGATGGATGTCTACTACGACATGGGTCAGCAGAGGATGCAGCGGCTGATATACCGGAGGCTGCACCGGGCGTTTAAAAAGCTTAAGCTCACCCAGAAGTGGGATAAGAAGAACATGAAGCTTCCACGGCTGATGAGGGATCCTGAGGCCGAAGCGAAACTCCCCCCATCTGAGAGGCAGGATCCAGTGCTCAGCTCTTCAATCGGTGAGCCTGACTGGTCCGAAGATGACACTCTGGCCGATACTGCCGTCTCCTCAGCAGCCGATGCCAGCGGAGGTGCCAGGACGGAGGAGGCCGAAGCGGAGCGGGTGGCCGATGAGACCGTCCCCGAGAGTTGATCGACTGACTTATCATTTTGTAATTTAGCTAGGCTGGTGTCTGTAATGCCCTTCTTTTTTTGTAATGGCCGTTGAGCCCTCCTTGTGTAATGACCTTATATTAATGAAATATGTTTCCGGCCTTATCATGTCTTTTTGTCGTCTTGTTCTCCCTTTACTTTTGTTCTCAAGTTTTTCAAAATTTGTCTAAGTGTTTGGAATTGGGACTTAGGTAATTTTCTAAGTATCAAGGCTTCAAGTGAGTGGGTGTTCGCGTCGTCTTGGCAGCACGCCCCCTTTCACTTTTGCCTAAGACTTTGGAAATTTTTCTAAGTGTTGAACCAAGCACCACACTTGGTGATCTCGTCGGCCCCGTGTTCTTTTCGGCCCTTTCGTTCCCATGCCCCCTGTCTAAACAGGAAGTCGCATCTGATTTCTTTAGTCGTGGCCGATATGGGTACCTGACCTTTGCCGTCTGAGTGTGATGGCCGAAGCGCTCCCCTATGGGACTTGACCTTTGGATTAAGTGGATTGATTTTGTCCCCTTCGACTTTAAACGTTTTTGCCTGTTGCCTTCATTATTTCAACTTTGAATTTTGTCTAAGTGTCAAACCAGGATATAGATAATTACCGGCCGTTGGTGGGGCCGCGACGGGCACCTGCAAGTGTTTGGGTACCCGCTTCGTTTTGAGGCTGTCCCCTCGTTGTCCAATGCCTTGGAGATTTCTCCAAGTGTTGGGCCATGTAGTTTCCTCCGCTTAGTACCGTCGTCGGCCAAATTGGGCGGCGTGGCCGATGAAGGTACCCGTGTGTTCCGCACCTGGGTGCTTGCCTTTCCCTTCGCCTTTGCTTTCTTCAAAAATTTCTCTAAGTGTTTGAAATTCACTCAGGGAACTTTTTCCAGAAATTTTCTAAGTGTTTGAAAATCACTTAGGCAATTTTCTTCAAAAAATTCCAGCTTAAGCAACCGCCTAGGTTTTAGCGCCTTTAACGGCCGACAAAAATGTTGTGGCCGGTAAGGGTTGCCACCAGTGTGCTCAACTTTCCCGCGGGTGTTTTAGTGCCCGCTTCGTCCTAGACCTCCTTTCCGGTGTTCAACTCCAGGATTATGTTAAGTGTCAAGCTAGGATTCTTGGTTTCCATGCTAAGTGTTGTAACTTCAGTCGGTCATGGCCGATGAAGGTTACCACCCTCGTTTCACCCAACCACTTTGGTTAGGATTTTATGGGCGCATGCTCCGTCCTTGACACTTTCTTCGTAACGGGTGGCCGCTTCGTCCGTGTTACCTGTTGGTAATGTTACCTTTGTATTCACCTGATATGTACTTAGCCAAATGTGTGGCTTGATTTGTGGGGATTTATTTTTACTGCTCGAGGCCGGCAAGTGCGCACGGTCCTCGGCTTCCCTCTTTTTTTTTGTTCCCTATTTCGGGGAGTGTCCTTCTTTTAGGCTTCGGCCGAAGGGGTCAATAGTCCTCCGGCCGGTTTGGACTTCGTTTATAACGTCCATGATCTCAGGGGAGGTCCCGTCGCCTATTTATGTCGCGGGCTAGACTTTTGGTTGGTTTCCAACGGCTGCCGTTTCCCAACCCTGAGTTTGGGGATTTTGTCACCTCGGCCATGATTTCAGGCCTGTCGTCATGCGATCAGGCGTGTGGACGACGCGGTGAACTTCCCATTTCAAGACGCAGGTCGTTTTCGGGCTATTCGTCCTGGGGACATCGTCGGCCCTGTCTGAGCGTTTCGCTCTGAGGGGCCGGTACGACGTGCTCTTTCAGCTGGGCCTAAGCCTTTCGCTGATACAAAATACAATGGGGCATACCTGAGCCTTTTGCTCCAAGGTTGCGGATGCGAAACGCAACATCGGCCATGCCTGAGCCTTTCGCTCTAAGGTGGCTGATGAGGGCGCCCGTTAATGCTTTACTCAAATTCCAAGAAATCAAAGGGAACATGATTTTTGTTCATAAGTGGCTCAAGGCCGGGGGTGGTGTTCAATCAATAACCCGTCAAGGGGTGAGGGCTTAGCCGGCTGCACCTCCTTCGGATTATTGATAAAACTTCACCAGATGGTGTACATTCCATGTTCGTTGTACATTGGTCCCATTTGGGTGCTTAAGCTTGTAGGTGCCGGGTTTGACCACGGCGCTGACGATGTAGGGACCTTCATACCTCAAGGCTAGCTTGCCCCCTTCCGTCGGCTGACTTGCTTCCCTTCGGCGGAGGACGTAGTCCCCCACTTGGAATTCCCGGCAACGTACCTTGGCGTCATGGTATGATTTCACTTGACACCGGTAGTTCTCCGCCCGGATGAATGCTTGTTCACGTCTTTCTTCGACCAGGTGGAGGTCGATCTTCATGTTCTCCTCGTTGACCTGAGGGTCGTACTGCTCCACCCGTCGACTGGGAATGGCGACTTCCGTGGGTGCCTTTGCTTCAAAGCCATAGCACAGGGCAAAAGGCGTTTCACCCGTTGCCCTCCTCGGCGTAGTGCGATAGCCACCACAGGATGTTGGGGATCTCCTCGACCCAACTTCCTCCTGCGTCTTGTAGGTTCTTCTTTAGCCCCTCCATTATAGTTCTGTTGGCGTTCTCAACCTGCCCTTTTCCTTGAGGGTAGGAAACGGAGGAGAAACGATGCTTTATTCCCCATTCTCGAAGGAGCTCCTGAAAGGGCGCCGCTTCGAACTGGGTGCCGTTGTCGGATATGATCTCTTGGGGGACGCCAAAGCGGGTGAGAATGTTCTTGTGGACGAACTTCTGGCACCCAGCCCCCATGATGCTGGCCAAAGGTTCCGCTTCGACCCACTTGGTGAAGTAGTCGACTACAACGATGATGTAGCGGTTGTTGCCAGCAGCTCTGGGTAGTGGGCCGACCAGGTCAATCCCCCACCTTGAAAATGGAATGGCAGTGCTGACGGGGGCGTAGTTAACGGCTGGCCGACCAGGGGCCTTCTGGAGCACCTGGCACGTGGTAAATTTCCTAGCAAGGTCTGCACAATCCCGCGCCATCGTCGGCCAGAAATAGCCCTGGACGACGAGACGCCGGGACATACTGAAAGGGCCCTGGTGTGAGGAGCAAACACCGCAGTGAACTTCCTCCATGGCCACTTTGGCCTCGTCCTGGTGCAGGCATCGGAGAAGAGTGCCGTTGTAGGATCGCTTGTAGAGCTTACCATCCTCAATAGTGTAGCTTGGAGCCCTAAGCTTGGCAAGCTTGGCCCTCTCCTCGTCCTGGGGTAGCTCCCCCGTGGTGATGAAGGTGGTGATGTCGGAGATCCAGTCCTCCGGCCGCTGCTGGATGCACAAGATGGGGCTGGCATGGATGTTGGACATGCTTAGCTCCTCGAGATGAGCTTGGAGAGGATGTCGGCCTCGGCGTTCTCGGCCATTGGGATCTTTGTGATCTCGTAGGTTTCGAACGCCTTCAGCAACTCCTCTGCTGCAAGTTTGTATTGCTTCATCCGGTCTTCCTTTGCTTCGTACGTACCCTCAACCTGGCCCACTACCAGCTTGGAGTCGCACCTGATTCTGATGTGCTTGGCTCTGAGGCCAGTGGCAAGTCTGAGGCCGCTGAGGAGGGCCTCATACTCGGCTTCATTGTTAGATACCCTGAAGTTGAAGCGGATGGCATAGTAAGCTCTGAATCCTTCAAGGGATATGAGGACGACGCCACCCCCGCATGATTTCGCGTCCGACGAGCCGTCGGTGAAGAGGATCCACGTGTCATCCGGCTCTGGCCCGGGGGTAGTAGTGGTCATCTCCCTCGCTGTGCATTCAGTGACAAAATCGGCCAAGGCTTGCCCTTTGATAGATGGCCTTGGCTTGATCTCAATTTGGAATTGGCTGAGGAAGATCGCCCACTTCACCATCCTCGAGGAGCTAGTGGGGCTCCTCATGAGCGCGCCAAGGGGCTGCTGGGTCAGTACGTGGACGGCGTGGGCCTGGAAGTAGTGCCCTAGTTTTTTCACCGTGTGGACGATGGCTAGCACCGTCTTCTCGATGGGGGAGTACCTGAGCTCGACCTCCCTGAGTGTTTTGCTGATGTAAAATATGGCTTTCTGCACCCCTTCATCCTCGCGGATGAGCACGGAGCTCATAGCCGATGTGCTCACCCCCAAATATAAGAAGTGGGTTTCGCCGGCCTTGGGCTTGGAGAGAACCGACAGGGACGAAAGGTACCTTTTCAGGTCTTCGAATGCTTCCTGGCACTCCGTCGTCCACTTGAAGCTGTTTGCTTTGCGCATGATCTGGAAGAAAGGGAGTGACCTCTCGGCTGACTTGGAGAGAAAACGGCTCAGGGCCGCCAGGCGCCCCGTTAGCCGCTGTACCTCCTTGACGTTGCGGGGCGGCTCCATATTGACGATAGCTTGTATCTTCTCTGGGTTTACTTCAATGCCTCTCCGGCTGACCATGTAGCCGAGGAACTTGCCGCCTTGGACGCCAAAGGTGCACTTCTTGGGGTTGAGGCGGAGTTTGAACTCCTTCATGATTTCAAAAATTTCCCGGAGGTCGTCAGCATGTGTGGTGGCTCACTTGCTTTTGACAATCATGTCATCGACGTATGCCTCCATCGTCCGGCCGAGGACTGCTCCGAAGATCTTAGCCACCATCCTGGTATAGGTGGTGCCGGAGTTTTTGAGCCCGAAGGCCATGACAAGGTATCAAAAAATTCCCTCCGGGGTCATGAAGGCCGTCTTCTCAGCTTCATCTTCATGCATCAAAATCTGGTGGTACCCTCTGAAGGAATCAAGGAACGACATCAACTCGCATCCCGCCGTCTCGTCCACCAATTGATCAATGTTGGGGAGAGGGAATGGGTCCATGGGGCACACCTTGTTCAGGTCAGTGTAATCAACACACATTCTGAATATCGGCAGGTTTTGGGTGAGGGCGACGTTGGCTAGCCACGTCGGGTACTTCACCTCTTTGATGTGGTTAATTGAGAGGAGCATGGTGACCTCCCCTTTGACGAAGTCCCGCCTGTCGGCGGACAAGTAGCGTCGCTTCTTCTTGACAGGCGCGGAGGCCGGATCGACGGTCAGCCGGTGGGTGATCACGTTCCGGCTGATACCTGGCATGTCGTCAGGGCCCCACGCGAAGATGACGGCATACGACCATAGGACGAGGATGATGGCATCTCACTGGTCCTGTGGGAGTTGCTTCCTGATTTTGAGGACCCGCTCCGACCGGGAGGTATCCAGGGGGACCTCCTCCACCTCTTCGGCCAGTTTAGCATGCGGTCTCTCCTCGTCCTTGGCAACGGTTGCCGTGATGGTGTCTATTCTCTACCCTTCCCTTTCGGTCGGCCTCGTTAGCTTGAGGTAGCATGCCCTGGCTATCCTCTGATTTCCTCTGGCGTAGCTGATGCCGCCGCTGGTGGGGAACTTCAGGCATAAGTGTTTCATGGAGATGATGGCCTCCAGGTCCTCCAGTGCAGGCCGCCCCCAAATCAAGTTGTACGTGCACTGAAGGTTGACCACCATGAACTCCATGTCAATTTTGGGGCGGTGGGAGCCGTCGCCGACCTTCCCGGGGAGGACTATCGCGCCCTCAGCGTCGATAGAGTCCCCGGTGAAGCCGGACAACGATGTCTTGATCGGCTTCAGTGGAGCTTTGTCCAGCTTCAGCTGCTTGAAGGTGTCCAGGTACATCACGTTAACGGAGCTCCCCGTATCGATGTAAGTGCGGTGGATGATGGAGTCACTGATCTCACATCGGATGACGAGGGCGTCCCTGTGTGACTCCGTACCCGGAGGCAGATCCTTGTCGGTGAAGGTGATCGCCTCCGTCCGTTGCTTCTTCGGCTGGGGGGAACGTGGGACACCTACCCAATGTAAAGCGATTGGGCCCATTTCTTCCCCTGGGTGACAGAGTCCCCCCCTTAGTATTCCCACCTACGATGAGGTGAATATGGTTCTTCTTTGGTAGAGGCTCCTCAAAATCTTCTTCGTCGCTGAGCCACCGATCTCCCGCTTCTTCGTAGAGGGTTCGCCCCCAGGTTTGTCGGTGTTTACCCACGTATTTTTGCGCGGGCCACCTTTAACAAATTGGGAGAGTTCCCCCTAACGAATTAGGCGCTCGATGGCTTTCTTCAGCGTGATGCAGTCGTCGGTGTTGTGTGAGGAGTTCCTGTAAAACCGGCAGTAGGTGCCGCCTTGCTGGATGACAAGGACTTCCTCCGTCGGCCGAGGAGCTTGTTCAATGAGGTCATGCTTCTCGGCATAGTCGAGTATGGTGCTGACCGGGTGAGTGAGGGGGACCCCCGGCCGTTCCAACCTCGGCCGCCAATGGCGATCTTTCTTGCTTTGTCCACCAGAGCCGTGACGGCCCTGGGCTTCCTGGCCGGCCAGGGATGCTCCCGGGGCCGGCGAAGGATTTGTCTTCTTGTGGGGGTGGCCTCCGTCCTTTTTGTGGTTGTGGAGCTTGTCAGCATCAGCGTACAAGCTCTCGCGCTGAAGCGCCTTTGCCTATGACCTCGGAGGGTCGGTGATGAGGCTCCTGGCATACGGGGAACTGTGGAGGGCTCCCTGGTAGAGGACGAGGAGGGTGCGCTCATCGGCCCCCTCGACCTCTTCGGTCTCCCTCGTCCACCGATCAATGAATGACTGGAGGGGTTCGTCATGTTGCTGCTTGACGGAGAGGAGATGGGTGAAATACTTCTTCGCACGCTTCCTCCCGGCAAAGTGGGTGAGGAAGCGCTGGGCAAGGTCCTGCCATGAGTCTACACTTCCTTCGGGAAGCGCGTTGAACCACTCGTACGTCGGCCCCTCAAGAGTGGAGAGGAACCAACGACAGAGATATTCATCCGACGTGTTCACCATCAGCATGTTGTTCTGATAGCGGCTGAAGTGCTCCCGGGGGTCTGATCGGCCGTCGTATGACTTGATGGCGTTTCCCCTATACTTCTCCGGGATGGGGGCCAAGAGCACCCTGTTAGTGAAAGGGGTCCTGGTCCTGACCTGGACGACGGGGTCGCCTCGCCCTTCGGCCAACTCCCTCTCAAGGGCGCTGACCTTGTTCATGAGAGCATTGAGGCCAGGATCGTTGGAGGCGCCGGCCGTGGGAATGTTTGCCGATTGCCTTGCCTCCATCTAGGCCAGCCTCCTTTCCAGCTGGGCGATGACCTCATCCCGAGGATCCCTGGCGGCTGCAGCGGCGCCCTGCTGGTTCTGCATGCGCCCCTCGTGGGCTGCGTTGATCTGGTGGCGCACGTCGTCCTCTTGCAACTTTCCCTTGCCCTTGCCCTTGTCCAGGCGGGGCTGGTCCGCTGTCCGGGACACAGACCCGAAGCTTTCCCTTGGCGAGCCAGGCCGACGCTCACCAATCCGTCCCGCCATCCTCTCCGAAACCGGACGATGGCGCGTGTCACCCAGCCTATTGAAGGCAGAGGCTTTTCCACGCGCTGGGGTCTGTCCAGGCCGAAGAGGGGAAGCGGGGTGGGAGTGGGACGACGCCGTGTCCTGGGCTATCACCCCCCTCATCGTTGCCTATCCTGCTGGCCAACGGTTGGGGCTGAGGAGGTGGAGTGACGTTCCCCCCAGTCCTTGGCAAGAGTGCGCTGAGGACGGTGGGGTTCTGAGCCAAGCTGGCGATGATGACCGACAACGCGGCCTGAACCTGTGGATCCACAGACGGGGAAGCCGCGGCCATAGGCTGGGCCGGGGCGTGGTCTGTCTTCTCTGCACGTTTCTTGTCCAGGCCGATGCGGGCATCAGGGCCGCCACCGTTGAGCTGGTTGCGTAGGTCCGTCGTGAGGTTGATGACCTCCTGGAAGACGTCCCCTCCTCCGACCTAGTCGGCTGTGGCATCCTCCTCGCGCTCCCTGGTCACCTGGTCCTCAGGGATGGCCTTGGTGACGAGGTTGCGATTTGACTTAGTTCTTCCCATGATCAGTGGTTAGCTGTGCTTGGTAGCGAGGAAGGGTGCTAACTTGATTGTTCTAGCTCTCAACGAGAGCACCAAATGATAGAGTATATATCTAGAGAGAAGTGACAGCTAGAGAGAGAAGTGCAAGTAAATGCTTCAATAGAATGATTTTGTCACCCCTACAACTACTCCCAGAGGTAGTATTTAGAGGGAAAATATGGGCTGGGCTCCCAAGTCTTGGGCTTCGGAGGCCCATTTTCAACTCGACCGCTATTGGACCGAATACAATGTGCGTAGAAATGATTAAGTGTAAAATCCTATTCTGGGGGGCGCTCGTGGCCGATGAGGGCACGGCCGACGAGGGCACGGCCGACGAGGACCCAGCCGACGAGGTCACCCGGTTCTCCTGGCTTCCGGACCGTATTCTGAGTTAGACTGCTTTCTGGCTGATGGAGGTCATCTGGCCGATGTGGGTCCCACCAGGTGATCGTGGTACCTTCTGTCCTTCCGAGTATGTGGGCCATGGGGTCCAGGCCCATATACTCCATCAATAGCGAAGGCCCAATAGGCCCAGGAAGCACGGCAGGCCTAGATCACAGCGCGGTCAGCGCCCCAAGTGCCAAATAGCCCACGACGAACACTGGGATGCCTTTGGGCCCCATGGCCGAAGCCTCATAAACTTACAGAACAACTACTTTTAAGCACTCAAAGTTACTGGGAGAAAACGGCGAAAACAGTAGCCCTCGGCACCTAGAGCCATCAGCACCTAAAGGCCCTCGGGATGAAGAGCCTTCAGCTAGTCATCTACAGTCGAAGGCATCTCCTCGACAGAATCTCCCACCCACATGCGCTGGATCAACGTACCAAGTACAAACGTCGAATCCAACTGCCGCATTTAATGCGGCCACATGCGAATGTCAGTGCCACCCCGTTGAGGTGACCCCTCGACCACCAGAATGATGACACGTGTCCCTATCTAGCATTTATTGCTGCTATAAATAGCACCCCTTTCCCCATTTGTAAACCACGCTCAATACGCTGAATACACTCGATATTAATATACACTCTCTCTGTACTTTTGCTATGACTTCTCTCTAAGTTACTCCCGCAGTAACCCCTCAGATAGATACACCCCGGGTACACTCATCCATCAATAAGATAACAATAACACAGGAATCTAACCAAGATAAAAGAAAAATAAATAAAAGAGCATGAAAAAGCTAGAAGATAAAAATAACATAAGAATATAAAAAGATAAGGAAAATAAACGATAAAAGAAACAAGAGAGGAAAGGTAGACAAGACATCAATCGTCCACATGGATGTGCGCCCTCCACTTTGCTCTCTCCAAAGCCATACTCTCATCCAACCCTAGAATTGAAGACGCATATCAGTTCTGATACTCTAATCAAAGTCTGTTTGGGTCTTCCCCTCCCTCTCTTCTCTGACTCTTCTCCCCACCCCTCAAGTCGTCTAACAGGTGTATCACTCAGTCTTCTATGCACATGCCCAAACCACCGCAAATGAGACTCCTGCATCTTATCTTCTATAGGTGCTACTCCCACCTTTTGTCTGATTACCTCATTCCTCAGGCGGTCTTTTCTGGTATGTCCACACATCCAACGCAACATACGCATCTCTGTCACACTCATCTTTTGAATGTGGCATTGCTTCACACTCCAACACTCTACGCCATATATTAATGCCGGCCTAATTAAACACATTAATGTCGTACAAGGTGAAAATTCTAGGTTCGGAATTTTACCGTGTAACACAACCTATAATTAAAGTAATTAAAATTATAGAAAAATAAAACATCTTAGTAACAATTAAAATCAAAACTAATTGAATTAATTTTAAGCAAAGTATGTTTAATTGCACAAATGACTAAGATTAGTGAACATTAGTAAATAATTTTAAGCAAAATATTTACTTTTCTTGGTCAATAATGATGAACTTTGGACAATGATTTTAATTATTATATTTTTATATAATTTCTAAATTTTATACTTTTATGATAATATTTTGAATAAGGAACATTTTGATATAATTTTCATATTCAAATTAATTTCAAATTAAAAAATATCATTCGCCAAAGTTGATTTTCATTGTTGGTCCAAAATAGGACGCTCGTAGGCTTTTAGGAAAGCTACGTACGACACTCAAGCAAGAATTAGGAAAGTACGAATATGGAAAGTTAGCCAGAAATAGCATATCTGTATTTGAAATTCGAATTGCCTTTTATAGGCGATTACAAATGGTAACTGTCGAACATAATAATGACTAAATTAATTACAACATTAATACGGAATTAAACACATAATTAAGTCGCGCATTGATTGTTGGCCGTTACTCTTCCTGACTGGCTGGCAGGTCGACCTGGCTAGCAGGCTGAACGCTTGAGCTCCTCGGGTGGCAGGCTTCCCGTTGGGCCGGTAGGCAGGCTTTCTGCTGGGCTGGAAGGCAGGCTGCTGAGTGGGCCGGTAGGCAGGCTCCCTGCTAGGCTAGAGGCAGGCGCCTGGCCAGACTGTAAGGCAGGCCGGGCTGGACGGCAGGCTCCTGACTGGGCTGGTAGGCAGACTCCCTGCTGGGCTGGACGGTAGGCTGCTGACTGGGCTGGTAGGCAGGCTCCCTGTTGGGCTGGACGGCAGGCCGCCCTGGGCTTTTACTCTTCGATGGGCCTGATCGGTTGGGCCGGAACGAGCTCTGGATCACTGGGCTTGGGCCTGTTGGTCCAAGTCCGGGGCTTGGGCCGATTAGGCTCTGGGCCTAGTCCCATAACCCCATCACGAGTCCCCCACTCCCTTAGTTGAGTAGTAGACTCGGCTAAGAGGGAGTATTTTAAGTCAGCTGCCGATTTAAAAATATTCACATATCAAGGAACCATAATTGCGGATTATGTGAATCCCGGAGTTTCTGGAAATTCCCAAATTAAATCAGACTCCCAAAAAAGGCTCCAAATAAATTCCTTCAGCATCCTAGCACTCCAGTCGTCAGTTTTCTTCCGGACTTCAAAATCCAGGTCAGCTCCCGAAAATTCCTTTCCCTTTCTTTTCTTTCCTTTCTTTTCTTTCCTTCTTTTTTCTTTCCTTTTTTCTTTTTTTCTTTCCTTTTCTTTTCTTTCCTTCTTTTTTCCTTCCTCTTCTTTCTCTTCTCTCTCCTGGTCTGCGTCCATCTTCCTCGCGTCGCCCCAGCGCCGCAGTCAACCGGCCGACTGGGTTGACCGCCGTTTCCCTCGTGGCAGCTCTTGGGTCGGCCTCTGCTGCGCCAAGCGGCTGTCTCGCGCCACCCGCCTGTCGCCGATGTCCCCACAGTCCAGTGAATTTGGCCGGTGGGTCTGGGCTCCTGTTGTGGCTGGCGCAAGCTTCAGGGATGAGCGGCCTCCCCGGAGGCTGGTGGCCAGGCGGGCCTGCGACCGGGCGCCCTCAGGCCGGGCGCTGCCAGCCGTCGTTGGCTAGGAAGCCGAGCGGCCAAGTGGTCCTCCGGGTTCAATTTGGGCGGCACCGTCCCAGGAGGCTGGCGGCCAGGCGGGCGGGCGACCAGGCGCTCTCAGGCCGGGCACTGTCAGCCGTCGTTGGCTAGGAAGCCGAGCGGCCAAGTGGTCCTCCGGGTCCAATTTGGGCGGCACCGTCTCCTTTTTTGCCGGCTGAGCTGTCAATTTGGTCGGACGCCGTGTGTGGTTCACCGATTCCACATGCCGGCCCCTGCCGCGCCCAATGCCTGCCCTGCGTCACTCGCCGCCTGCGACACCGCCCCTGCAGTCCGGCGGGTCTGGCCGATAGGTCTGGTCCCCCATGCTTGGCTGGCGCGGTTTCTAGAATCTGGCGGCCACCCTATTGTTCGTGCTAACGTGCGGGTGACCGGGTTCCAGGGGAATTGGACCTCCGAAGTTTGTCTCCCAAGATCTTCATCCCGCATCCCTTGGTGAAAATTCTTGGAAATTGAACTTATCTCACGTTTTTTTTTGCAGATCCGGTCTTCTCTTCCCAGTGTGAAAAATGCAAGGCGATGGACGCTCTGCTTATGAAAATAACGGTAATGTGGATTTGGGATTATCGGCTGGCATCTAAGTAGAGCGTGGGGCATCTGCGAGACCCATGCGGGTCAGCCACGGCCCTCGGCCCCGTATGCATGCAGGTGCTACTACTGGGCGGCAAGCTGATGCTCTCCCTGAGTTGGCTCCAGCTAGGCGGGTTGCTACTTCTGAGGGATGACCTCTCAATGTTCCAGATAGAGCATGCATCCAACCTGTGAACGTACCAGACTCAGATGATGATTCCGATACTCGGGCAGCCCTAAATTCCTGGTGGGACCTTGATAGCAGCGGAATACCGGGCCTCCCTTCTCGCGTCACGGAGGAGGACCTTATCATGGCATGCGGTTTGATTGGTAATAATTGTTTGTTGGAAACTCTGGCAGTTACTGACATATTGAGCAATCCACCAACCCCATACTTCGGGGTCCATATCCGCTCTCTAGAGTTAGGGATGGTTGTGCCACTGCATCCCTTCCTAATTCGGTTCCTTCACTTCCTGGGTGTGGCACCAGGTCAATTGGCTCCGGCAGCTCACATGTTCGTTGCAGCTTTCGTGGCGCGATGTGAGGGTGTGGGCCTCACACCCACGATTGATTTGTTTTTCAGCTGTTTCCAGTGGCGTACTTCTAGCTTTTTCACCTCAGTCTCCCAGAGGTCAGTGAGCAAACTGTTTCGGTCGGGTTACCCCACTTCAGGCAAAGGGTGGAAGAAGAGATGGATCTGGGTGTCTGACCCCGATCTCCCATCACCTCCGTTTCAGTTGGGTGAGCGGGTTCGGAAGTGTGACCGGGTCGCTCTCTCCCCTGGTCTCAAGTCCTCCATCGAGATATTGTCCACAGGCGGTCCCCACTCCATCAGCTCATATTTAGGTGATTGTCGTCTCCCTGGTCTATGTTTGCTACATTGTATTTTATTCTGCTTATCCTCACATTTTCCTTCCGCAGCTGTGCCTGAGAAGCTCGTTGTTGAGGCGGAATCCGATGAAGAGGAGGAGCCTCAACAAGTCATCGTTCTTGTGGCAGCAACGTCTGCAAAGGGGAAAGGGCACGGAGCCCCCCCTCCAAGAAGGGTGAGAGTTACCTTCGGGCCTCGGCCAACTACGCCAGTGCAGGAGAAGCACAAGGGCGGACTCGTCGACCTGCTAGTCAAATTGGATGAGTCCGATGAGGAGGAGGGGAGGAGCCCTGCCCCGCCGTTGCTGATGTGGCCCCTAAGACTGTTGCGGGGAAAGAGCGCGGAGCCTCCTCCCCGGGCCGAGGGGAACAAGTCTCGAAGAAGGCTAAGGTCGCCCCCAAGTTTCATTCCACTGAGCAGGTACACGAGGGTGCAGATGAGAGGATGATCGAACGGATCAGCCATGACACCCCGCATACAGTTACTTACGCATTCCCATCTTCGAGTGCCTCAATTATGCATGAAGGCTTCCCGGTCGTGGATTATGCTTCATCAATCCTCCCACTAGGCAACCTCACCTGTACGACTTCCCAGGAGTTTCATCCCCTCTTGGAGGGTTCCATCCGGTCACATATTGAGGTAGGTTGATCACATCTTGACGTGGATTGTGTTTATCCCTGAACCCCCTCACATTTTCATTTGTCTATTTTGCAGGGGCTCGCCAAGACCATCAGGGCACTCCACGCAGCCAATCATTCTCAGACCAGGCTTCAGCGCGAGGCTGACGAAGCTAGGGCTGCCCTGTGGGCCAGCCAGAAAGCCTTCTCCGAGCTGCAGTCCTCGCGTGCACAAGAATGTGAAGAAGCGGCCAAACAAGGAGCCAAGAAAACGCTCTCCGAGTTCTAGGCCTCCGAGCAGTTCCAGAATATCATCTCTGCGAGGGTGCAAGCGGAACAGTCTGAACTAGTGCAGAGGTGGCTGACGACCCCCGACGGAGAGTATTGGCGCGCTCGCGAAGTCCTCTATGCTTTTCAGAGTGGAAAGTATTTGATGCAGCAGAAGGTGTATGGCCGGTTGAAGGATCTCGACCTTGACTTTCATCCATCCACACTGGGCCTTCCTGGTCGCATGAAGAAACCCGTGGAGGCGATAGCCCTTCTTCCCCCAGAGGCCGTTCGTTAGGAGGAGGAGCTTGGTAGTTCGAACGAATGGGCCTGGTTCTTTCCGCCAGCTCCGGGGAACATTACTCCTGTGGCCCCCGGCCAGGACTTGGTTGGTGTGTTAGATGATGTTCCCGAGGTTGATGGCGATGGGTCTGTCCAGCCATGACCTTGTATTTTGTATTTCCCTTGTTTCCCACTTGAATACTTTGTGTTTCGAATGGATGTTTGATTTTTATTTCATACGCCTACTTTTCTATACTTTGCATTACGAATACTTAGCAATTTATTCTGGGATCTGGCTTCTCTAACCTCCCGGAGGCGGTTAGGCTGGCGTGGCCAAGCCTATCCGTGCCCCTCCTAGTTGGGTAGAAGTGATGTGTTCGCTATTGATATGGAATCAACAAGTAAGCGACTTGTTTGGCCAGCAAGGTCGGACATTGAACCGACGAGGAAGACCCTTAGGTCGGTATCCTGAACGTTCATGACCCGGGGGTCAGTCCAACTTTCACTTTAACCCATCCAGTTTGCACGGACTTGGGGAATAATCTGGTTACTCCTGCATGGATAGCCAAACAACAGGGGCGGACCCTGCATGATCCACGAGAACGAACCCGCACCGCCAACTCAGGGATGACGAGAGTGCGAGCTGCTTGGCCAGCGATGTTAGGCGGCGAGCACTCGAAAGGACCCGGAGGTCAGCATCCTGAGTACCCTCGACCTGGAGGCCGGCCCTACCGTCGCCTCGACTGTCGCGGCTAGCTCTTTACTTTAGAAAATTGCCCGGATTCTTGAAAATCGCTTGGCTATTTTCAGTTAAAGAGCCTGGCCGAGGTCGGCCAAACACCGAGGGGGGCATAGTACTTCTTTTTTTTTCCGCCGCCCTTTATTGCTAAGTGAGGTCGGACCTCTTTTGAAGACAAAATATCGCTACCAAAGTATATTGAATTCATGATGTGGGCGGACCACATGAAGAATTACAAATTGTAATCCCGTGCTCGGAGCACAGGAGTTTCCAAAGAAAAGTGAAACTTCGATTTTCTACTGGTAAAACTTCATCAGCTGCTCGGCATTCCAGACGCAGTCTACCAACCGTCCTGTTGTTGTCTTCAACTTGTATGTCCCAGGGCCGATCACTGCGTCAACCACGTAAGGGCCTTCCCACTTGACGGAGAGCTTACCTCCCTCTGTCGGCCTGCTGGCCTTCCTACGTATTAGGACATAATCACCGAGGTCAAAACTCCGGGGTCGGGCTCGGCTGTCTTGGTACGCCTTGACTTGTCGTCGATAGTTTTCTGCTTTGATGAAGGCACGGTCTCTTCTTTCCTCAATGAGGTGGAGCTTGGCTCGGAGCCTCTCCTCATTGCTGGCTGGTTCAAACTCTTCCACTCGCCGGTTGGGAACTACGGCCTCGAACGGTGCCCTCGCCTCAAAGACATAACACAAGGCAAAGGGGGTTTCTCCTGTTGCCTTCCTTGGGGTTGTTCTGAAGGTCCAGAGTATATTGTTCAACTCCTCCACCCAGGCAGTCTCGAGGGCCTCCAATTTCTTTTGCAATCCATCGACGATCGTCCGGTTGGTGTTCTCCACCTGTCCATTTGCCTGGGGGTAGCAGACCGCAACTCGGCTGGATTCTACGCCCCACTCTGCACAGAATTGCCGGAAGGCTTCGCAGACAAACTGCCTTCCGTTGTTGGAGATTATTTGGAGGGGAACCCCAAACCGGCAGAAAATATTCTTCCATATGAACTTCTTACATTAGAGATGTGTGATGCTGGCAAGCGGCTCGGCGTCAACCCAGTTCGTAAAGTAGTCCACTGCGACGATGACAAACTTCCAGTTTCCCGACCCGGTTGGTAAGGGACCGACCAGGTCGACACCCCATCTTGTGAATGGAAGGGCGGTGCTGATCGGTGTGTACATCGTTGCTGGTCAGATGGGGCTCTTCTGGAACTTCTGGCATGTCTCGCATTTCCTTGCATAGTCAGCGCAATCCTTCATTATTGTTGGCCAAAAGTACCCCTGGAGGACGACCTTCCTAGCTAACGTGCCTGCCCCCTGATGAGCGGAGCACACGCCCCCATAGAGCTCAGAGATGATCATGTCCGCCTCATATGGGCGTAAACACTTTAGCAAGGTCCCATTGTAGGACCTCTTGTACAGCTTCCCATCCAAGACGACGTAGCCCGGGGCTCGTCGCCGGACTAACCTTGCCTCATCTTCTTTATCGGGGAGCATCCCGTCGGATATGTAGCGCAGGAGGTCATCCACCCAACACCAGGCGACTGGTTGCAGGGGAAGGACGTCAATGGACGGTGAGGCTGATATGCTTGAGGTCGTCATCTCCTCAATGCGTGCAATTCTCGATATGTGTTCAGGCAACCCTTGGGATAGCTTTGAGAGGAGGTCTACATCGGAGTTTTGATTTCTCGGGATTCAGATCAACTCTGCCTGCTTGAACAACCCGAGCAACTCCCGAACAGCATCTCGGTACTTCATCATTCTTTCTTCCTTCGCTTCGAACTCACCTTTGACATGGGAAACCACCAGGCGGGAGTCACATTTCACCGTTATCCACTCTGCTCCCATGGCGGCTGCCAGTCGTAGCCCAGACAGTAGGGCCTCGTACTCCACCTCATTGTTGGAGATTTTGAAAAGATAGCGGTAGGCATAGTAGGCTCGGAATCCCTAGGGTGAGATGGGACGATTCTGTCCCCGCATCCCTTGGCTCCTGCCGACACATCAGTCGCTAGAGTCCACCACTATTCATTTCTCTCTTGTTGCCTATCTGCTACCTCTCGGGCCGTGCATTCCACAATGAAATCAGCCACGACCTGGCTTTTGATGGACGTCCGAGGCTGGAAGTCAACCTCATATTGGTTGAGGAGCATCGACCACTTCACCACCCGGGTTGTGCCGGGCGCCCTCAGAGTGGCACCTAGGGGTTGGTCCGACATGATTCTGATCGGGTGCGCTTGGAAGTAGTGTGTCAACTTCTTGGCGGTGATGTAGGCGACATATATTGTCTTCTCGAGCGGGGTGTACCGGAGCTCAGCATTCTGGAGGGTCTTGCTCACATAGTAGACGGGACGCTGAACGCCTTCCTCCTCGCGAACCAGCACGGAACTGATTGCGCCTTGGGAAACCCCAAGATAAAGGATTAACGTCTCCCCCCTCTCCGGCTTGCTGAGTAAAGGCTCAGAGAGGAGGTATTTCTTCAGGTCGTCGAAGGCTCACTGACACTCATCATTCCAGACGAAACCATTTTGTTTCTTTAGGACCTGGAAGAAGGGTAGGGACTTCTCGGCGGACTTGGACATGAAGCGTCCAAGGGCTGCTAGCCGGCCGGTGAGAATCTGGATTTCTTTCACCGACCTCGGGGGTTCCATGTCAAGTATTGCCCTTACCTTCTCAGGATTTGGCTCAATCCCCCTCCATGTGACCATGTACCCCAGGAACTTGCCTCCTTGGACGACAAAGGTACATTTCTTCGGGTTCAGGCACAGACGGACTGCCTTCATGATCCTGAAGATCTCTGCCAAATCATCTGCATGATCGGACGCCCGGGTGCTCTTGACGATCATGTCGTCAACATACGCCTCCATGTTCCTTCCGAGCACCTTCCGGAATACCTTGGCCACCATCCTCGTGTACGTCGCCCCAGAATTCTTCAGCCCGAAGGCCATGACAAGATAACAAAAAATCCCCTCTGGGGTGACGAACGAGGTCTTCTCCGCATCGTCTTCATGCATGAAAATCTGATGGTACCCTCGAAAAGCGTCCATGAAGCTAAGGAGCTCACATCCGGCCGTCCCATCGACTAGTTGGTCGATGTTAGGCAATGGGAATGGATCCATCGGACATGCCTTGTTGAGATCAGTGTAATCAACACACATCCTCCAGGTTGGCGGCTTCGGGGCCAGGACCACGTTTGCCAGCCAGACCGGGTACAAGACCTCCCAGATATGCTTGATACTCAGGAGCATGTTGACCTCCTTCTTCACGAATTCCCTCCTCTCGGTTGAGAGGTGTCTTCTTTTCTGCTGGACGGGCTTCGCCGTTGGATTGACCGCCAGCCGATGGACAGCGATGCATCGGTCAAGACCAGGCATGTCCTCCGGTCCCCACGCGAAGACAACGCTAAAAAGGACAAGTACCTGGATAATCTTCTCCCTCAAGCCGGTCGGGAGCCCGATCCCGATCTTGACCTTCCGCTCTGGCCTCTCGGGGTCAATCTGGATCTCCTCCACTTCTGAGGTGGGTTCAGCGCGGAGCTGACCCTCCTCATACTTCGTGGCTTTGTTGTTGATAGTGTGGACCCTCAAGTCTTTTTGACCTATTTGTTTGCAAGCTTTCAGATAGCAGCTCCTCGCCATTCGCTGATCTCCCCTGGCAACTTCGACGCCATTCGGAGTGGGAAACTTCATGCATAGGTGCTCCTGGGATATCACACATCTGAGGTCTTCCAGGGCCGGCCTTCCCATGATGATCTTATGCGCACAAGTTAGGCGTACGATAATAACCTCGACGTCTAACTTGGATACGCAGGGCTCGGAGCCCACCATCACGGGGAGGACTATGCTGCCCTCCGACTCAATGAAGTCCCCGGTGAAGCCCGAGAGTGGGGTTCTCACCGGGATCAAGTCTTTTCGGTCCAGCTCGAGACCCTGGAAGGTGTCATAGTACATGATGTTAACGGAGCTCCCATTGTCCACCAGGACTCGGTGGACGACCGTGTTGTTGATTTCGACCTTGATGACCAAGGCATCCCTGTGCGGCGGAGGCATCAGTGGCAAATCTGCGTCGGTGAAGAAGATGGGGTCCCTCTTCACCCTCTTGTCGGCGGGAGCCCTGGTTATCTCCCCGACGTATAGGGCTCGGGCCCACTGTTTCCGCTCTCCAGAGGTGTCGCCTCCCTGGGTCCCCCGAATATGAATGAACATCGATGGTACTTTCGGGGGCCGTTCCCTAGGTCGGCATCGTCTTCCTCGGAGAAGGCGCCGAGTTCTCGCTTCTTGGCAGGCGGTGTCTCCTTTGACGTGGTAGCTTGGTCGGACCGCTGCCACGTCAGGCTCCTCTTCTGCGGGATGCCTCCTTGTTTGCCAACGAATTGGCCCAGGTATCCTTTCTGGATGAGCTCTTCAATTTGCCGTCAGAGAATGACGCAATTATTTGTATCATGCCCAGCTCTCCGATGGAATCGACAATATTGGTCGTGGTTGCGCTTGGCAGTCACCACATCACACTCCTCCGGAAAGT